GCACACTTTTAATCCCAGGGAGGCAGAGGCAGGCAGATCAATGTGAGTTCGAGGCCAACCAGGGCTACATAGAGACCCTACCTCACAACCAAAACAACCCCCCCCCAAAAAAACCAATTCTTATTCTAGTTTGTTAGATATTAGGATTGCTACACCAGCTTGTTTCTTGGGTCCGTTTGATTGGAAAATCTTTTCCCAACCCTTTACCATCTGTCTTTGATGTTGAGATGTGTTTCTTGTATGCAGCAGAAGGAAGGGTTCTGTCTTTGTATCCATTCTGCTAGTCTGTGTCTTTTTATAGGCAAGTTAAGGCCGTTGACATTGAGGGATATCAATGACCATTGATTGATGATCCTTGTTTGTGCTTGATTTATTGGTAGTGAAGTTATTTTGTGTAGGTTCTCTTCCCTTTTTCTTTTGGTGTTATGTAAAGTGGGATTATATATTGCCTGGCCAGCATGGGACCAATCCAGACCCCCCGAATGTGAGAGTCAATGAGGAGGCCTGGGCAACCTATGGGGCCCTGAGCAGTGGATCAGTGTTTATCCCTCGAATACTAACAGACATCGTGTGTCCATAACTCAAAGAGGGATGCTCTCTCTGCCTGGACTCTTAGGGAAGTGCCTGGACCCTACCCTGAGTGAAATGATAGACTCTAGATATCCCCTATGCGGAAGGAATTGGCAATAGGGTGGGAGGGTGGGGGGGGGGGATGGTGGGGGTGTGCGGGAGGAGGGGAGGGAGAGGGAACTGGGATTGACATGTAAAACAAGCTATTTAAAATTAAAATAAATAAAGAAAAACTAATTCTTTACAAAAGACTAATTATAACAAGAATTGCTATAAGACCCAAGGGCAAGAGCAATAGCTTTGTTTTGGGAGCCACCGGCCCTCTTTGCTAGCCTAGAACTCGTTATGTAGACTGTCGCCTGTGCCCTATGCTCTCTGTAGAGCTCCGCTCTCCCGTGGTCTCCTTTTATTTGCTGGTTTCTGCCGTTGCTCCTGGTATATACTCACATCCAAAGCTTCAGACCTAGGATCCACAATTGAGAGAGAGTGGCATTCTTTGTCCTGGGTATCAGTCCCCTCAGAGTACCAGGGTTTCATGCCTGGTGTGGGTAGGAAGCATGCCTCTGATTCCAACAGTATCGAGACCCATTCCTATTGAATCTCAACAAACCCCAGCCTCACCAAACTCCGGAGTAAACCAGTACTCCGTGGGATTGAGTTTTGGCTTTCTTGTGCAGCAGAGGGCGCCAGAGAGCACGACGGTGCAGGGGCTGGCGCAGACAAGGATTTCTTAGAAAACCCGCAGGGACCCAGGGTAACATACCCAGACAGGAACTCACTTTGCAGAAACGCCTTTGCTCTGCCTCCTGTTGTCCGATGGTCTTGCCCACCTGGCCCCCAGCCGGACACGTGCACGCTGATCCTTATGCTAATGTCTCACTCCTCCATCCCCAGGGCCCTCTGTCATCCCGATAGACACCTGAGAAAGGGACTGATGCCAGGCTGTTACAGACTAATCCTTTAGGTCACGTACCCTCGCTAAAAGACATCAGGACACTCTATCTGGGGAGGAAAGGGACCCAATAGGAGCAGAGACAAGAGGTTGGGTAACAGATTGAGTACCGGGAGCCAACAAAAAGTACATATGCGAATGTTATGAGGGCCAGATCCATGGTACAGCAGGCTCAAGTGCTTTCTGTAAGCTTGGTGACCCGAGTTTGATCCCCAGAGCCCACAAGGGGAAAGGAGGAGAGCACTGACTCCCACAAGTTGTTTGCTTGTTGACCTCCAAATGTTCATTGGAGCATACACACGAGCGTGCAGTGGGCAAGCATACACACTAAAAACATTTTTTAAAAAACTAATGTGGGGTAGGAGGCTTGGCTCAGCAGTTTAAGGGCATTTGTAGAAGACCGGAGTTCAATTCCCGGCACCCGTGTCAGGTGGCTCACTCACTTGTAACAAAGTTTCTCTGTGTAGCCCTGGCTGTCCTGTTACTCACTCTGTAGACCAGGCTGGCTTCCAACTCACAGAGATCCTCCTGCCTCTGCCTCCTGAGCGTTGGGATTAAAGGCGTCTGCTGGTCCTGGCTCATTTGTAACTCTTTTTTTTTTTTTTTTTTTTTTGGTTTTTCGAGACAGGGTTTCTCTGTGGCTTTGGAGGCTGTCCTGGAACTAGCTTTTGTAGACCAGGCTGGTCTCGAACTCACAGAGATCCGCCTTCCTCTGCCTCCCGAGTGCTGGGATTAAAGGCGTGCGCCACCAACGCCCGGCTCATTTGTAACTCTGAATTCCAGGGGATCTGATGTTCTTTTCTGGTCCCCTTTGGCTCCTGCACACACACACACAAATAAAAATGAAAAACACCTTTAAAAGAAAGTCATAATGAAACTCATAACTCTGTATGGTAACTAAACTAACATATAAGTGTCTACATATGAAATAGTGTGCATGTATATGTAAATGAGTCCCGTCACGCTCATTGTCCATAGGCTTGTACGTGTTCACACGCTCACATACCTCACTCTCCATCACCCAGCTCAGACTTGTCTTTGGAGTGTCATCGACCTTATCCTACTTTCTGGTGGCCTGTCGTGGGTAAAGGCAAGTGCTGCCCATCCTGATAACCCGCGTTCAGACTGGGATCTACATGGTGGAAGGAGAAAACTCACTCCCAAAGGTTATTGTTTGCATGTGCGCACTGTGACAGGTTCCCCTTCCCAATGAAAAACAAAAAAGCAAACACGAAGTCAGGTGGAAATTATGGGGCTAGAAATTAGATGCCATGTAATGACAGATTCAATCACATTTTGAGCGCGCGTGCGTGCGTGTGTGTGTGTGTGTGTGTGTGTGTGTGTGTGTGTGTGTATGTGATTCAGAAGGCACCTTGAGGGGATTGGTTTTCTTCTACCATGTGGAACTCAGGGATCAACCCAGGTAACCAGGAGGCTTGGAAACAAACACCTTTACCTGCAGAGCCATCTCACTGACCCTCTTTAAATTTTGTTAAGAAGGGGTCTCTCAACATAGTCCTGGCTGCGCAGGAACTCACTGTGTAGACCAGGCTGCTCTCAAACTCAGAGATCCACCTGTTCCTGCCTCCTGAGTGCTGGGATAAAAGGTGTGTTCTACAAGTCAGCCCCCTCTTTGGCTTTTTGAAACAGGGTTTCCCATAGCCTAGGCTGGCCTCTCTAGGTTGCCAAAGATGACATTGAAACTCCGGTTCTCCCACCTCCACCTCTCAAGTTCTGTGAATATAGGTGTGTACCAAATACTATCTATCATCTATCTATGTATCTAACATCTATCGTCTATGTATCTATATCTATCATCTATCATCTATTTATATCTGTCTATAATCTATCATCTATCTAACATCTAATATCCATCCATCCATCCATCCATCCATCCATCCATCTATCTATCTATCTATCTATCTATTTCTCTATCTCTCCATCTATGCTAGGATTTGAACTGAGGACCTCACAAATGCTAGGCAAACGCTCTACCATAGAACTGTATACCCGGCCCTGCCCTCACTTTTTGTTTGGGGCTGAGGATTGAACACATGGTCTCATGCTTAATAGATGGTTTAGTCAGGGTTTCTATTGCTGTAAAGAGACACCACAACCACAGCAATTTTTTTTTTTTTGGTTTTTCAAGACAGGGTTTCTCTGTGGCTTTGGAGGCTGTCCTGGAACTCACTTTGTAGACCAGGCTGGTCTCGAACTCACAGAGATCCACCTGCCTCTGCCTCCCGAGTGCTGGGATTAAAGGCGTGCGCCACCACGCCCGGCGACCACAGCAATTCTTATAAAGGGAAACTAATTGGGCTGGCTTACAGTTTCAGAGATGGCGTTGCAGGAGGATTTGAGTGTGTTACATCGTGATCCCTAGGTAGCAGAAGGAGGGTGAGTCCTGGGTGCAGCCTGAACATAGATGAGACCGCAGAGCCTGCCCCCATAGTGACACACATCCTCTATCAAGGCCACGCCTCCCAATGGGTCACTCCCTATGGGCCGAGCATTCAAACACAGGAGTCTATGGGGGCCACACTTATTTATCCCCACACTAGGCAAATGCTTGTTCGCTGAGCTACAGTTCCAACTCTTGCTTTTGAGACAAGGTCTCACTAAGTTTCCCACGCTGGCCTTGAACTCACTCTAAAACCCAGGCTGGTCCTGCTTGGACTTGTAGTCCTCCTGGTTACTCTTTCCAAGTGCTGGAGTTAGAGACCATCAGTCACTATTTTCTGGCCAATTTGCGTTTTGCTTCCAATTGCCATACTCATGGTACCCCTCTGTTATTTACTGAGGCTGAAGTACTATGTTGAACTTAAGGTTGACATCTTTTAGTGTTTGGTTTTTCCAGGTGGGGTTTCTCTGTGTAGCCTTGGCTGTCCTTGAACTCACTTTGTAGACTGGGCTGGCCTCAAACTCAAGAGATCCTCCCGCTTCTGCTTCCCGAGTGCTGGGTTTAAAGGCGCGCACCACCAACACCGGAAAGATTGTTATTTTTATGTGTATATGTGGTATGTCTGTGTAAGAATGTGCACACGTGTGCAAGTGTGTATGGGGGCCAGCAAGGGGCGTTGGGTTCCCTGGAGCTGGAGCTACAGGCAGTTGTGAGCTGCCTGATGTGGGTTTTGGAAACTGAACTTGGGTCCTCTGGAAGAGCAGCAAGTGCTCTTAACCACTGAGCCATCAACCCTCAGTGTCGCCCCTCCACCCTATGATCTCCTTTATGTGAGCTCCGGGGATTTAACTCATGATTGGCAAGCACATAATCCATTCCAGCCCCGAGGGCAAATGATTTTAAAATTAGCATTTTTATAAATACATATCTTTACCCGTAGCGAATATTAAATGTGTATGCGAGATGAATTTGTGATGTTAAAAGCTATTGGGTGAGGCAGCATATATAAATATTTCTTTTTTGCTGCTGATGTATCAGTCTTATTTCCTTGTTCTTCAGAAAAATCAATCAGCCTGCTTGGTTGGTCAAATCTAAAATTTTAATTATTTATTCCACAACACTATTGTTATAGCAAATAAAAAGAAAAACATTCAAGGTTCATCTAAAAGTTCACAATATATGAATGGGAACAGCAATTTAAGCAAATTCCAAACCAAACAACCATGATGATACTTTATATTAAAAAGATGAAAATGTCTCTAACTAATTTGAATACATGATGCCTTTGTGCCCTGTGTGTACTAAACACAACAATTCTCAGCCATGGTTGTGAGTTGACAGCACTTTCCCATAGGAGCTTTCATATTCGAGGGTCATTTTCCTTGTTAGGGGTTAACTGGACGCCTAAAAATGCCTGGATTCGACACAGGGCAGATAGTGAGGACTTCTTCTTGATCATCTGGATACGAGTTTGCTGGAGCAAAAAATGGGCGAAGTGGATCCGTGTCAGGAATTTGAAAGAATGTAAAGATGTGGGACCCATCGCTGAGGTCCCAGAAGGAAATGCTCTTCCTTACTAGGTCAAGGAAAATCCCCACCCTGTGCAACCGAGCGTTCACGATGAGCTGGGTCAAGGGTTCAGTGCAGGCAGCATAGACCTCTCCATCTCTCACACCCACAGTCCAGAATCCGTGTTTTTCCGTCAGGTTAATTGGCTTTTTCCGATTAACTGACTCTTTGCAAACGCCTATATCCCATTCTTTGCTGGTTCCCACCACTACCTCCCAGTAATGGCGGCCGGAAGTGAACCGTGAGGAGCCCAGGACGCAGGTGGAGATTTTGAATCTCTCTGCAGATTTTTTCCGGTTCTGCTTCTTAGACCCACAGTAGACACTCCTCAGATCATCAGAGATGATGAGGTGCTTGTGGGCTGTGTCCGTATCCAAGGTCATATTCACTGTGTAGAGAAAATCCAGTAGTTCAGTAAACACGCAACATGGACTCTGCCTTTCACATTTATTGTTGAGACTCATATACCTCACTTTTATTTAACTCCACTCTAAAAAAGATCACCTTTTGTGGAAAAATTTAAGACCTCCCTAATTAGGTGATGTAGAGCAAAAGCAGTTGCCACAAAATGTTTCTCTAAATCACAATAGGAAATTTCTACACTGTTGAGTACTGGACTTGTATAATATTTACTTTGTTTAATTGATTGTTTTTTCGTGATAGGGTTTCTCTGTGTAGCTTTGGAGACTGTTTTGGAACTCACCCTGCAGACCAAGCTGGCCTCAATCACAGAGATCCTCCTGCCTCTACCTCCCGAGTGCTGGGATCAAAGGCGTGCGCCACCAACACCGCACTTGTTGAATTAATATTGGAAGGGTAGAAGATACAATACTTATTGTAGAATAGGAGAATACTAATCTTTTCCTTGCAGTCATCTATTTAATCGGATTCTTTAAATTTTGTTTTACATTATTCATGTGTGTGTATGCGTACCAAAACGATGTATGTGGAGGTCAGAGGACATCTTGAAGGAGCTGGCTCTCTCTTTCTACCAGGTGGGTGTTGGAGAATCAAACTCAGGTTATCAGGCTTGACACAAGAGCTCTTATCTGCTGAGGTACCTCACCAGCCCTGGTAGTTGCATTCTAGACATTTTTCCATATATATATATGAAAAAATATGTCTAGAATGTATACATACATACATACATGTATATAAATATGGCTACAGTTGATAACGTTTTTGCCTTGCAAGCCCAACCCCAAGGACTTGAATTAAAGTCCCAGAATATAAAAATGCCAGGTGTGGCAGCTGCTGCACTTTCATAATCCAGGTAGGTGAAGACAGCCAGATTTCTTCAGGGCTTGCTGGCCAGTTTAGCTAGCTTTGTTCAAGCCCATGGGAGGCCTGCTCCTTTCTGAAAGGTAGGGGAGGGGGCAGATGCGTAGATGGGAAGGGAGGGATAGGAGGAGGGAGAGGAGGGAGGGGAAACTGCAGTGGGTATGTAAAAACAAGTGAAAAAATGTTATTTACATAAAAGAAAAAATAAGACAAAAAAAAAAAACCCCAAACAACCAAAAAAGGAAACAAAACCAGGTAACATCGATAATGCAGAGCTAACTTGTGATGTGGAACCAGGCAATACTTCCTGCAGCTCTGGGGTTGAAAGCACATGGTATAGCCATGAGGTCTGGAGTCCCTATGTAACTGGACCTAAATCTGCTTGAGCTATCATCAGACGACTTTCATCACTCTCCTGGGGGGCTCTGAGTGCCAAGATGATTTATCCATCACAGTGGTTGCCTACAGTGCTCTATACATCAGACTCACCTGGGGGCTTTTGAGCACCTCAAATCCTGGGTCTCGAGGTCAGACAGAGGCCCTATTTCCTTCCTGACTCGGGCTTTTGCCAATCAACACCACCTGTATTGTGTCCCTGTTGACAATCTCAGGAAAATCTGCTGCTCCAGAAGCAAAATCTGCCTTGAGCCGGATGGTCAGGTAAATTTATAGATTATCAAATTTGAAAAGCTATCTTCCAGCCGGGCGTTGGTGGCGCACGCCTTTATTCCCAGCACTCGAGCGGGAGGCAGAGGCAGGCGGATCTCTGTGAGTTCGAGGCCAGCCCGGTCTACAAAGCGAATTCTAAGAGAACCAGAGCTGTTAACACAGAGAAACTCTGAATCAGTCAGTCAGTCAGTCAGTCAGTCAGTCAGTCAGTCAATCAAACAAACAATCCAGAAGGATGGGCTGGTAAAGAGCAGTTGTTGCTCTTCAGAGGACCCATATTCAGTTTTGAGCACCCAGATGCCAGCTCACAATCACCTGTAACTCCAGGTTCAGGGAACCCAGCGTCCTCTTCTGGTTTCCATGAGCACTGCATGAATGTGATGAACATACATACATGCAGGCAAACACTCATGTACATATTTATATGTGTGTATGTACACATATATGCATATACAGATGTAGATACACACACCTATAAAACTCTTAGGAGCACAGTATTTAATCTCAGCATTTGGGAGGCAGAGGTAGACAATTTTCCCACTTAGCTCTAATCTCGACCCATAAGAAGTGAGAGCCTGCTGTGTTTTGGGAAAGAATGAAATTTGAAATTCCTGGCCTTAGTTAATGTTCAAAATTTAATGGGGAGATATTGGAAAGTTGATTTCCCCAGAGTGCCTTATGGGTCTGGAGTTGTTTCTTAAGACTTCTTACCTTGAAATAGCTTCATTCTGGAGTTCATTTTTAGAATACAATTCAGCAGCGGCTCTAATCTTCTGATCTTGGTAGTCAGGCGCTCCATTTGGGCAGCAGGTAGAATGTCTTCCTTCAAAGAGACAATAGAGCAATTGGGGCACAGTATGCCCTCCCCCTCTGGATTTTTCTCTAGGGAGTCAGTGCATTGGAGGCAGCACATATATCCACATTTCAAGTACACAGGCATTTCCAGATAACGTGCGCAGAAAGGGCAGGAAATTCTCTCTTTAAAGGGATGTGCCATCGTCAGCACCTGAAGGGAAACGCGCACGTGTTATTGGAAGTTTCATGATTGAATGACTGCTAGATCATGGGAGACTGGCATCTTTGTATGCACAGGGATGACACAGGACCGTTACAGTCATTAGTAATAGGTTACAAAGACAACCCCCCCAAAGCCCCACAGATATCGCTGACTTATAACTTTGAACTTGTGAGAATTGAAATTAGAATGAAAGACAGGGTTGCTCTCTGAGCTTCCGGTTAAAAGGGGGCAGGGGTGTGTGTCTAGATCGCCTGGTGTGGCAGTCACTAGCTACATATAGCTCTGGAGTACCTGAAAAGGGGTGTATCTGTCTCTGTTTAATATTCTAATGTTTATTTGTGTGTTTGTGTGTGGGGAGGTGTGTGTGTGCCTTGGTGCATTTGTGAAGGTCGAATGACAACTTGTAGAGTCAGTTTTCTTCCTCCACGGTGTGGGGCCCGGGGATGGAATTCAGGTCGTGAGTCTTGGTAGCAAGCACCTTTACCCACTGAGCTGTCTCACCGGTCCAGTGGGGCTTATCTGAATTGCAATGTGCTGTGTGTATAAAGTACATACTCAATTTGAAAGACATGAGAGACGGAACACAAACTATTTCGTTAACATTTTAAGACTAATTACATGTTGTGTTATATACACATTGAGACATTTTTATGTATGTATGGTTGTATGTGTCTACGTGTGGGTATGTGCACATGAGTACTGGTACCCATGGAGGCCAGAGGTGTCAGATACCCTCGGAGCTTGAGTTACAGACAGTTGTGAGCTGCCAAATGGGTGCTAGGAATCAATCCTAGTTCCTCTGTAGGAGCAGCCAACCCTGAGCTATCTCTCCAACTTCTTCTTCTTTTTTTTTTTTTTTTTTTTGGTTTTTCGAGACAGGGTTTCCCTGTGGCTTTGGAGGCTGTCCTGGAACTCACTCCGTAGACCAGGCTGGCCTCGAACTCACAGAGATCCGCCTGCCTCTGCCTCCCGAGTGCTGGGATTAAAGGCGTGCGCCACCACCGCCCGGCCTACTTCTTCATTTTTGATATTGAAATAAATTGATTTTACTTTCTCTACTTTAAGAATTAGAAAGCTTGTCTTTACCCATGTGGGTCATGTTCTGTTTCTGCTGGATAGCGCTGGCCTAGATCCAGGAACTTTCCAACTGTCCCGTTCGGATATTGAACGAGCCACTGGGAGGGATACATCTCCCACCTTGTTAGTCACCCACGGGCTGGACTCCAGAGAATGAAGACTACCACTTCCCCAGGCTGGGTGTTGAAAGTGCCTGTCCCACCTTCTGCTGCCGGAGCGGGGAGTTCTGTGTGCCTACACTGCCAGGCCTCAGACAACACTTGCTGGGCGATAAATCACCTCGCTGAGAAGTTTTTCCTCTGAACTGAAGGAGAAATCGCCTAACTGAACTCACCTCTTCTCTGCTCGTCTCTCTTCTGGCCTCCAGCTGAACTCTCGAGTGGGCCCACCTCTGAGGGCTTTTTATTGGTGATGCTGCCTCCTAGCTCGCCCTCCACCCCATCAGATTTCCATTTAAAATTTGGCTCAAGTGAAATTGTTTTATACAATGAAATACGTTTTACTTAAAAATAATGTTCAGGCTGGGCAGTGGTGGCACATGCCTTTGATCCCAGCGCTCGGGAGGCAGAGGCAGGCGGATCTCTGTGAGTTTGAGGCCAGCTTGGTCTACAAGAGCTAGTTCCAGGACAGCCTCCAAAACAATACAGAGAAACCCTGTCTCGAAAAACAAGAAACGAAACAAAACAAAAAGTTCAGTTACGTTCTCTCAGTATTGCACGACTAGGAATTTGGGGATGAGAATATGAATCTGGGAGATGGAAGGCACTAAAAAGAGACTTAGATTACATTTCATCATTTCCGAAATAATCACTTGCTGGTGAGTGCTGAGCACTTCAAAACAAAAACCAAATGCAGCTGGTGGTAGTGGTGCACGCCTTTAATCCCTAGCCCTCGGAAGGCAAAGGCAGGTGGATCTCTGTGAGTCCCAGGACAGCCAGGGATATACACAGAAACTCTATCTGGAAAAACCAAAACCAAACAAAGGAAATGCCAAACCACACCAACGCCCCAAATCCCCACCAAATCCATTACACTTACTTGGAATAATAGTTTTACATTTATTTCTTGATTTACTGTGTATGAATGTATGCCACTACGTGGATGTGGAGGCCAGAGGACAGCTTTTGGAAACAGGTTCTCTCTTTTTTGCTCTAGGGGTCCTGGGATGGAACTCAGATAGTCAGGGTTGATTGCAGTCTTGTCTGCATAGCTCAGGCTGACTCCCAACTGAAGATCCTCTTGTACTAGCCTTCCCGGTGTTCAAGCCCAGCCTGCGGTACAATTTCTAAAAGTCTTTGGACTCTCAAGTGATAATACCTGTTCTCAGTGCTGGGGAAACCCCCCAGATCTTGTGTATGTCAGGCAAATGTTTTATTGCTGGCCTACACCTTTGATTGCACGATTTTTTTCTTTTGATTTTTCTAGACAGGGTTTCTGTAGCTTTGGAGCCTGTCCTGGAACTCACTCTGTAGATCAGGCTGGCCTTGAACTCATAGGGATCCGCCTGCCTCTGCCTCCCGAGTGCTGGGAGTAAAGGCATGAGCCACCAACGCCCGGCTCACTTAAAAAACAAAACTGGAAATTGATTCTTCTCTCATATAACACATCCCAACCAAAGTTCCCACATCTCCACTCCTCCCAGCTCCCCCAAGTCTACTCCCCCTTCATTTCCTTTTTCAGAAAGGAGTAGGCCTTCCAATGAATACAGCCAAACAGGACAAAACAAGATATAATAAGACAAGGCGACAGACCTAATATCAAGACTGGAAAAGCCAACCCAATGGGAGGCAAAGAATCCTAAGAGCAGGCAAAAGAGTCAGAGACATCGGCTCCCACTGTTAGGGGTCCCACAAACACACCTCGCTAACAGCAATAACACAAGCCTGCTGCTTGTCTCTGTGAGCCTAGTGTGAATCCTGTTTCGTTGATTCGGTCAATCATGTTCTCCTGGTGTCTTCCATCCCCTCTGACTGCTACAATCTTTCCTCCCCCTGTTCTGCAGAGCTCCCCAGGGACCCATGGAGACCTCCAAATTAGCCTCCATCACCTCATAATGTCTGGCAGTGGGTCTCCGCATCCACTGCCATCTGATGCCAGAGGAATCCTCTCTGATGACTACTGGACCATAGCAGAACATCATTAGGAGTCATTTAATTTATGTATTTTTGCCAGTTGTGTTTGGTTTTACTTTAGGTCTCTGGGCTATCCAGTGTCTGGCTCCTGGCCATCCAGGGTACAAAGTCAAACCAGATATTGGTGGACCGCTCTCACAAGTTCCGTATCACTATTGCCCCAGAACATATTTCAGGCAGGACAGATTGTAGGTCAAGGGTTTTGTGGCTGGTGTCCAGGTTTCTCTTTCTGTGGCTTGCAGAGTACCCCCTCGCACCACGAGACCAGAACATGGAGGGTGAAAGTCCACGCAGGCACCAGCTTGATGTTTAAATGAGCTGTGCGAATGTTGTCTTTGGCAAAGGGGCCCTGATACCAGTTTTCAGAGATCGACCTTCTTAACATCAGCCTGGGTTGTTTAGGAATCCCCATAGGACCAACAAATCAACCAAGTTTCTGATAAACTGCCATACTGATTTCCAAAGTGGTCGTACAAGTTTGCACTCCCACCAGCAGTGGAGGAGTGTTCCTCTTTCTCCACATCCTCTCCAGCATAAATTGTCCTTGGTGTTTTTGATTTTAGCCATTCTGACAGAGGTAAAATGGTATCTCAGAGTTGTTTTGATTTGCATTTCCCTGATGGCTAAGGATGTTGAGCACTTTCTCAAGTGCCTCTCAGCCATTTTAGACTCCTCTATTGAAAATTCTCTATTTAGTTCTGCAGCCCACTTTTTAATTGGATCCTTCGGTGTTTTGGAGACTTGCTTCTTGAGTTCTTTGTAAATTTTGGAGATCAACCCTCTGTCAGATGTGGGATTAGTGAATATTTTTTCCCATTCTGTGGGCTGCCATTTTGTCTTGCTGACTGTGTCCTTTGCCTTACAGAGGCTTCTCAGTTTCAGGAGGTCCCATTTATTAATTGTTGACATAGTCCTGAAAACAGCTTGGTATTGGCACAAAAATAGACAGGTAGACCAATTGAATCGAATTGAAAACCCGGATATTAACCCACACACGTACGAACATCTGATCTTTGATAAAGAAGCTAAAAATATACAATGGAATAAAGAAAGCATCTTCAACAAATGGTGCTGGCATAACTGGAGGCTGGCATGTAGAAGAAAGCGGATCGATCCATGTTTATTGCCATGCACAAAACTTAAGTCCAAATGGATCAAAGACCTCAACATAAATCCAGTCACACTGAACCTCTTAGAAGAGAAAGTGGGTGGTACCCTTGAACGAATTGGTACAGGAGACAGCTTTCTGAACATAACACCACTAGCACAGACAGGGAGTACAGGTTTTCAAAGTATGACCTTATGATTCTCTGGATTTCCTCAGTGTCTCTTGTTATATCCCCCTTTTTTGTTTCTGGTTTTGTTAATTTGTATGTTCTTTCCTTGCCTTTGGTTAGGTTGGATAAAGGTCTGTCTATCTTGTTGAATTTCTCAAAGAACCAACTCTTTGTTTCATTGATTCTTTGTATTTCTTCTTTGTTTCTACTTTATTGATTTCAGCTCTCAATTTGATTATTTCCTGGCATCTACTCCTCCTGGGTGAGTTTGCTTCTTTTTGTTCTAGAGCTTTCAGGTGTTCTGTTAATTCTCTAGTGTGGCTATTCTCCAGTTCTTTCATGTGGTCACTTAGTGCTATGAATTTTCCTCTTACAACTGCTTTCAGAGTGTCCCATAGGTTTGGGTATGTAGTGCCTTCATTTTCATTGAATTCTAGGAAGTCTTTGATTTTTTTCTTTATTTCTTCCTTCTCCCAGAAGTGATGCAATTGCACATTGTTCAATTTCCAAGGGTTTGTTGGGTTTCTGCAATTTGTGTTGATATTGAATTCTAATTTTAAGCCATGGTGGTTCAATAAGATACAGGGAGTTATTCCAATTTTTTTGTATCTTTTGAGGTTTCCTTTATTGCCAAGTATGTGGTCGATTTTAGAGAAATTTCCATGTGGTGCTGAGAAGAAGGTATACTCTTTTTTGTTTGGATGGAATGTTCTATAGATGTCTGTTAAACCCAATTGGGTTTAACAGACTAACAGAACTAACTTCTGTTAGTTCTTTTGTTTCTTTATTAAGTTTCTGTCTGGTGGACCTGTCCAGTGGTGAGAGTGGGGTGTTGAAGCCTCCCACTATAAGTATGTAGAGTTTAATGTGTAATTTGAGTTCTAGTAATGTCTCTTTTATGAATGTGGGTGCCTTTGTCTTTGGGGCATAGATGTTCAGAATTGAGACTTCATCCTGATGGATTTTTCCTGTGATGAATATGAAATGACCTCCTTCATCTCTTTTGATTAATTTTAGTTTGAAGTCTATTTTGTTAGATAGTAGGATAGCTACACCTGCTTCTTATGTCCATTTGATTGGAAAATCTTTTTCCAACCCTTAGCTTTGAGGTAACATCTGGCTTCGAAATTGAGATGTGTTTCTAGTATGCAGCAGAAGGATGGATTCTTTCTTCCTATCTATTCTGTTAGCCTGTGTCTTTTTATAGGTGAGTTAAGACCATTGATATTCAGGGATATTAATGACCATTGATTGTTTATTCTTGTTTGTTTTGGATTCATTTTTGGTGGTGGTATTGTGTGTGAGTTTTTCCCCCTATTTCTGACTTCTGGTAAAATAAGATTATCTATTGCCAATGTTATTGTGAGTGTAGTTAACTTTCTTGGGGTGGAATTTTCCTTTCAGAACTTTCTGTAGTGCTGGATTTGTGGATAACCATTGTGTAAATCTGGTTTTGTCATGGAATATCTTGCTTTTTCCATTGATTATGTTTGAGAGTTTTGCTGGGAATAGTAGTCTGGGCTGTAATCTGTGGCCCCTTAGTGTTTGTAGAACATCTGTCCAGGATCTTCTGGCTTTCAGAGTTTCTATGGAGAAGTCAGGTGTAATTCTGGTAAGTTTGCTGATATGTTACTTGGCCTTTTTTCTCTGCTGCTCTTTTTTTTACACTTTTAAATAAATTTTTATTTAAATTAAAAACAATCTTATTTTACATACCAATCCCAGTTCCTTCTTCCTCCCATCCTCCCATGTCCCCCACCAATCCCCCCATCTCACCCCCCAACCCTGTCCACTCCCCAGGAAGGGTGAGGCCTCCCATGAAGGATCATCAACGTTTAACACATTTTTTTTTGGGTCAGGTCCTAGGCCCTCCCCCCTTGTATCTACAGTGTCTCTGCTGCTCTTAATCTTCTTTCTTTATTCTGTATGTTTGGTGTTTTGATTGTTATGTGGTGAGGGGACTTTTTATTTTGGTCCAGTCTATTTGGTGTTCAGTAAGCTTTTCTCTTC